CCTCTCCATCTCCATATTCTCTCCCTTTGAAAAAACTCCACTCCTGGCTCGCGATATGTTTTTCTGCCCCTCGATGCCCTAGCAGCCACAGTTCTTTGTTTCTCTGCGCTCTTTTCTTTCGCAGTAGGACCCTCACCAAAAGTTTTAGTTGTCACGTAACCAACTGGCAACTGCTCCTAGATACTCACGCAGCCGCTGCCGGACTCACTACGTGGACACACCCGTCCTATCTTGGGTACACTAGTACAAACAGCGCATACAGTCTTGCTTGCTGCAGATGATGGGGTATGTCTTCTGATTTCTCATTTCCGTTCGCCCATAAGTCATCATTCTCGGGATGATTTCGTTTTTGAAAATACTTGGTGAAGATGTGATACAAATATTTATTGAACGTTGGACGCACTACTGCCAGTTAAAAATACTATACATAAGACAATCTCTACTTTATTTCCGCCACAACAGTACACGCGATTTGAAACAACATACAAAGAAAAAAAATGATCCTATAACACTAGATACTGTTTGAGCCTTAGCCGCAAGTAGACGTTCAGTGCATGATATATTGTTGCTAAGCAAAACGATTATCATATCACATTCAAACGAACAACTGTGCAACACTTACCTAACAATAACAATAACGCCGTTATATCGGCGTTTATCTAAACGAGAAGACGTCTCCGTCATACTAATCATAACTCAAGCAAAACCCTGACATGTGCACCATGTGCTGTGTGACACAAGGACATTTGAATTCGAGATTCGAGCCATAGTTTTCTCTGTTCAGCGCCCAACGATGTCATGGTAGACAAGTGTAGGTAGCGTACAGACGGTGCTGTCAAGAATTTCACTGAAACCCGGTGTGACCAGTAGTTTACGATGGGCACTGAATATGAAGAGTATAGTCCAGTTCGAGCATTTCAAATACGAGAAGAACAAGACCTTAGAGAGCATATTCTACCAACTATCGATCACTTAATATCCTTATATATGACACTCAATCGATTAAACGATTAAAAGAAGCACAAGAGTGATATCGTCTGGTTTTCCACCGGCAGCTGAAAGACCATGCTCACGTGCCTTCACAGCAAACGGACTGTTATGCGTTACGTCAAACGATAACCTTCGTGCCGTCAGCGCAAGCGCATTACAAACCTAAAACATACACTTTCATGGTAACTTTTGTAAATCTGGAACAACAGGACTACGGATCCCGGCCTACCTCAGTTTTCGAAAGTCCTCAAAAACTTCCTACTTTCCCCCAGACAATTTTCCTGTCGAGGGGAGGGGAGGGAAGGTGGGGGAGGGGGATAGGGGGAAGAGTGTCACCAGTGGAACGGGAAAACAGCGAAAAGTAAGTCAACAGCGGGAGAAGTTTCCGTTGCAATGCGTCAAATTTCTCCCAGAAAGGTAAATACGATCCTCCCTCCGCCCCCTCTGCGATTCTCCCAACATGTGAATTGCGCCCGTGAAACAGAAAAAATCAGCTGCCAAAAATTTTCTTCTCCGACCAAATACAAGCCCTCGGTACAGCGACCAAATACGACCCCTCAGCTGGGGATCCCCCAACGTAGGGCGTACCCTAAATCTTCTCTTTTACATCAAGGAAGGCTGCACCATTGAAGAAGACATAATCAGCTCACTTCATCATTGCATGATTCTCTTAAAGGGCAAGAGTCGTCGTCGTTGAAAGACTATTTACAATTGTTAATCTTTCGGCGCCTCAGGGCGCTAACCGCCTTCCCCTTTCCCGCTCGCCTCAACGGCAAAATTTTGGGTAGAAGATGAACCATAGCGCTGGGTTATGAAGGAGATCGTTCCGAAACCCCTTTTTGGAGGTTGTACTAATTTATTCTACACATTACGATGATGTACCCTATGCACAATGGTTCTGTGTCCCCACCCATGCGATTACCGTGTAAAAAGACTCCAAACTATAGTACGAAAACTAACCTCTTGTACGGTAGCTTTTTCTTCGATTAGTGGTCGAAGTTGATCGAGAACATGTTGTTCCGTAAGATTATCCCAGAGTCCATCGGTAGCCAACAGGATTATGTCACCTTTTTGAACTCGGATTTCTTTCTTATCTGCCAAATCTGGAGTATCTCCGATGAATCCACGATATCCTGGAAAATAAAAATTAATCAGGCAATTACTATCGTAAGCGTTATCGCGAATTGTTTCATGTTCCACACCACACACCTCCCTATCTGATCCCAATATCGTTAGAATTCCGAAAAAAAAAAATTCTTGCCGCTCTTCTAAAATTTTGAGCTCAGCTCTTAATACATTACATGGATCTAGGGAAACAAGGGCAACTATTTGATCCATATATTTTTGCCGAATTTTTTTAGAATATTTGAACATTCATAAGTTTTAGCAACATTAGCGTTACGGCAATAATATAGGCGTCTTTGCTTCCTACATTAGCATGCTAGCAATCCAGCAATAAATAGATCTCGTCACGGTACAATTCACGCTCTTGGCTCTCCTCTACCCATTTCTTTCTCTTCCATAGGGCCTCCGAAAAAGCGTCCGCTTCACACTATAAGCCACATTAATCTGGGCAGGAGGGGGAGAGGGACTTTTTAATGGTAACATCAACATGTGTCGCAATATCAGCTAAGTTCTTGGAGACAGTACAGTCATGGCAAACAATAACGGAGGGGCCTTAACTGAAGCGCAACAAGGGCAGCTTTCCTCGCCAGTTTCGCGGACTCATCGCACGAGCTCTTTCAAGGGGAGGAGACTCCGGGGTGTGTGAACTACTTCATCATACGTGAAAAGCTGGAATGTGCGAAGTCACAATGACCATAGAGTGCCACGCGGACGAGAGAGAGCAGAGAAAAACGCAAATTCGACGCGTTCAAAGGAACTGAGTTCAAGTTGCCAGTAGACCCACAGGTGGGAAGAGAACCGTAGGGTACAGCTGAAACTGAGATAAAGCAGACAAGCAGCGCGTCTGGCCTGTGGTGAAGCGTGTGGCTGCCTTGCGCCAGCGCGGGCGGAGTATTGAGGCGGCGCCGGGATATCACTCCCCTCCAGCCCATTTCGTGCACTTTCATTTAAGAAAGTGGCAAGCGACTGCAGCTGTGGGCTCATTCACCTCACACATGATAATGACCAAGTTGCGCCAAACTGAGGTTACAAATTGTTTTCAACTAGCTAGCTCCTCTATGTTCAAACTCGATAAAGCTCTTTATAGCATTTAATTTGATACATTGGGAAAAGTAAACGAAAAAAAACTAAACAAAAGAAAATTAAACACACCCTCTGGTGGGAGTGTGAGTTGGAAAGGCGCGTTGAAATAATGAACTTGCTCCTCGCTTTTGGTCAGAACTCGTCCGTTTCGCACCACCATGAAACCGGAATCACCGAGATTTGCTGAGTACAACATCTCTTGGTGTACTACCAAAACGCATGCTGTTGATGAACCTGAAAGAAATTTTCAGAGCACGGAAGCAAGATTAAATGAGGCCCAACGGTTCTTTGGAGTGCAGATATACTAGAATACAATTCTGAGAAGTCGGGATAACGGACGACTATACCGAATGCATCGTTCAAGTCTAAACATGGCGGAATTTGCGAAAGAAACATGTGCGCGAATAAGACAAAGAGAAACGGCGGAGCGGGCGCGCAAGTCCACCGGACGCTTGAAATAACTGAGTAAGCATTAGTTGGGAAAGCGGCTATGAGGGCCATTCTCTCATTCTTCACTTGAGGAGGAGTGAACAAAGTCGCTCACCCGTCCGTTTATAAATTTCGCCAGTTCTCGGATTCGCCAGGGTCGTAGACTGGTTACCATTAATAGTTGAAGAGGGCAGCATGCTGCACCATTACCCTCCTGGGGAAGGTGGTATTTCACACTCACAGATAATTCACTCTAGCGCCTCACCCCTTCCCCCAAGCCTCAATGCATGGCGATACCGCATCCTTGAAAACACAGTCGTAAGGAAAGCGCAAGGTCAAAAACACCGATGA